CTCTATGTCTAAGTTATACACATTTTCCATATTATTTAACTTTACAGATGTGCGCAACATGTTTTTTCTAAAATCTTGTCTTTGACAAGCCTCTTTGCGAGTAGCGAATCAGATTTACTTTTCTAATCAAAAGTTTATCAACCTAACAATTTTCATAACTATGTAGCGATAACCGACACGAGTTGAACACATGTACGAATATTTCATGTATTCAAACACCCCCTCGACTCTTCCCGCCCCCACACTGAATAGATGTGAACACTACAACAAAAATAGTTTTTCACGGCATTCGTTTATGGCATGCTTTAAATGTGTGCCATAATAATTTAATTACTTGAAATATTTACGGCATACATTTTGGGCATGTCGTAAAAGCTGAATATTTACAGTCTAATTATCCAGCATGACGTATAGATTGATAAAGAAAATATTTGTGATTCTTAAGTTTTTTCTTAAAAAAAAAAAGAAGTATTTACGATGTGTGTTAATGTATGCCGTAAAAAGAATTTATGGCATGTATGTTGCAAGCTGTGAAAAGTGAATTAAGGTGCACGCGTAAAAAAATATAAGTATTTACGGCATGACTTTATAGTGGAAGGCGTTTTAATAATATCTAAGTTACTCAAGAGAAATTAAACGGTTGAAGAAGGATGATGTGTACTCCTATAATTTTTGTGATTACCACGTGGAATAGAAAGAATTGCATGCACACTGAAACCGAGATGGCTTGTTGGCATGCATGCATGTAATTAGAAACAAGTGTATTTGCAATTGCATGCATGCGCCCACGAGGGTTGTCTGAAACAAATGTTTATCCATTTCACAAACACGTATATTACATGTCAATTGCTGAGCATGGAGTTGCAGGTAATATTTATTGCTGATACAACTGTCGTTGATCAGTAAAATTTTTCCATATTGAGCTCTTATCACTTAGTTAAGTTACCAGACTACCTCAGTATATTTTTTACAGTATCATGGGAAACTGCATCATAGGATATATTTGTGTTACAGAAATATTTTCACGCGTTTGATGTATGAATTATTTAACTTTACAGAAACACATAGTAAACAATCAGAAGATGTGCACAATTTTTTCAATAGCTTGCTGCCTTTCTAAAAGTTTAACTTGTTAGACACTGGCTACTTGTATTTTTCATTTTTTTTAAATCTTTCCTTTAACAATCCATTTCATGATATATTTTTCCAATCAAAACTTGACACTCCACAATTTCAATAACTATATAGCGACTGCCGGCATGAGTTGACCTAAAAGTCGTACCTCGGTTCAATGCTGTTTTAACTAAAGAAAAAAAAGAAGAAGAAGAAACACGGGCCTTTTGCATGATTATAATATCATGTTAATCATCTTCTTAACTTTTTCAGAAGTTAAGGAGGCGTGTACTCTTATAAATTTTGTGTGTAGCACGTGGGGGATAACGAATTGCATGCACATTAACATCAAGATGAAGTACCAGGCTTGTTTTTCAAATTTTGTAAGAGTTAAGGGACTTAGGAAGTAAATTAATTTTGCATGCGTATAAGCAATTTTTCAATAGACAGCTGTCTCATATTTTCAGTCACAACTTTCCAAAATAAAAATTATCTTTTAAAATTTTATTGTAAAATAATTTCTTCTTTATAGCAATTAAATTTAGCTATATTACAACGGTTTTGTACTTAGCATAATTCATGAATCTTTTTGAAGCCAATCTACTTTGTAAGGCTCCCGCAAATAATTGTAGGTCTTAAGAAAAACCGAGGGCAAAATGGACTCGTATTTAAGAATGTCTTTAACTAATTAAAGAATACCCATCATCATTTAATGATACTTATATGTGCTAATGTTTAGAATTATTAGAACGAATCACATGCAACCTATAATCAAGATTGATAGGTTTTTAGTTATATTGAAATATTGGAAAAAAAATGATTGTTACAAAAAAGTTATAAAAGTTAATGAGTCTTTTGGAGGGTTGTATAGATGAATTATGAATATTTGGGTTTGAGTATGGAACAAGAAGAAAAAGTCGCCAGAATTACGCTAACTTGTCGCATAGCTGATGCTCGAGCGTTCAAAATAGAATTATTATTGCCGCTTGTCTCCTGGCTTTCGCTTGAATGACACACCTCTTGCTCGAGCGACGACGTTTTCCTAAAAAGCAAATTAGGGAAAAATATCAAATTCATATAATTCAAAACACACACTTCCTGATTATTATCAGGAATGTAGTTTCTCAATAACTTTCAGATGTTGTTAAAGATTAGGGAGGTTGGACTAGAAACACAAGAGGAGTATAAGAATAAGGCGTTCTTGGTGTTGCACGAGAGATAGAAAATTTCAAAAGATTGGGAGCAGGTGTGAGTTAAGCACGTTTCAGTGGGTCTCAGAGATTGCAGAAATCAGCGAGTCTAGTGGGTTTTTTAGATTGGATGATACTGTAAGTTCTTATAGTTTATAGTGAAAACTACTGGTTTGGTCCTGAAGTTTTTACCCAGTTAAAGATTTTTTCCGTCATCAAATCTTATGTTATTTATTGCTCTAATTATTGTTGCAATTCAACGTATGATAACTTAACTTGATTGAATAAATATTTAGAATAATTAAAAAGTGACTTGTTGCTTTTAATTGTTAAGTTTAATTCCTCGTTATTCACCTATTAGATAATTTTAAGGTTGAACTAGTAACTTTCAAAGATGAAGTAACCAGGCTTGCTTATAAGGTTTTCGAGTTTTGCAAGAGTTGAGGGACCGAGGAAGTTAATTAATTTTTGCATGCATGTGATCAGAATTTCCCTATAAATAAATATGGGAACTGGTTCTCCACTACTCAAAGGTGAATGAAAATTAGCTAGCAATGGCTTACCAAAACAACTTCCTATCAATGGCTAACGAAAACAACTTCCTGTCAATGGCTAACCAGAACAACCTTCTGATGATTACTGGTGACGATTCTAAGTTTAATGATTACGTGAGTACTCCAACCTGTCCTGATGTCAAGCGCGCCAATTTTCCCGAGGATTTTGTATTTGGGGCTGCAACATCGGCTTATCAGGTGTGTCTCCTACTATTTACCTGCAGAGATTTGCTACAACAAGAGAAAAGCCTTACTTTCTCTTAATTTTTTTTATTGTCCGCATATGTATTTTTGCAGGTTGAAGGTGCTTGGAATTTAGATGGTAAAGGCATCAGTAATTGGGATGATTTCGCACTGAGATATCCTGGTCTCTTCTCTCTCTTTGATCTTCTTGATTCCTGTGTATGTCTATATAAAAATATGTTTATGAACACACTAACAAACATATTTGTGTTTTACATGTCAATTGCTAAGCATTGTTTACTGGAGTTGCAGGGAAAATTCAAGATGGGAGCAATGGGTGTACTGCTATTGATCAGTATAATTTGTTCAAGGTATACTTCACAAATTCTAATAGAGTACTGAGCGAAGTGTCCAGCTTATTTCATTTTCAGAATAGTATTGTCTATTTTTCCAAATAAATAAATAAATTTAGTTCTTCCAAAGATTCTTTTCTTTTTCAAAATTGTCACCAAAGCATCTTTTGCTTTTTCAACTAATTTCAAATAATATAGACATTCTCGACAAATTATGTAAACTTGATTGACAAGAGTTTTATTTAGACAACTAAATCTTTCTCATCAATGTAGACAACAATTTTTTCCCCTGTTTGACGATCATTATTTGAACTCTTTTTTTACGTATTCATTTTCAATCACAGGATGATGTGAGGTTGATGAAGAAAATAGGTTTGCAATCTTATAGATTTTCAGTTTCATGGACTAGAATCTTACCAGATACCGTACATTTTTTCCATAAAATCATTAGCAAAAAAAAAAAAAGATTTGTATTATTATTGTAACGTGAAGGGTCTAGAATTTGTGCAGCATCTAGTATGTATTAATATCCAATGAAGTTCTGCTTAATATAATATTTTGTTAATGTGTTTATGTTGTCACATTTAGGAGGTAGATTAAGTGCAGGCTTATCCAATAGAGGAGTAAAGTACTATAATGACCTCATAGATGCACTCTTGTCAGAAGGTATATTCTTCCATTTATTCTACTTTAACAATTGGTGGTCCGCTAAGTTCAAAATCATGACATGATTTTGAAATCATTTCTCATCTTTTAACTATAGAATCTTCTCGTTTAAAGTCTAAAATAAAGAGGAAACTCATGTATTTGTTAAATTTTATCCTCAACTTGTACCCTGATCATCTGCAGGCATTGAGCCATGCATAACTTTGTTCCACTGGGATGTTCCTCAATGTTTGGAACTAGAGTATCAAGGTTTCTTAGACCGTCGAATTTTGTAAGCAACTTAATCCTGTTACTTTTAATGAAATAAAAAAATCTACGATATAATTGTTATTTATACCTATTACTTTCTGCATACAGGCAAGATTTTTGTGATTTTGCTGAGGTTTGCTTTTGGGAGTTCGGTGATCGGGTGAAACGTTGGATTACACTGAATGAGCCATGGTCATTTACTGTTATGGGATATGTATACGGCAGTTATCCTCCTGGCAAGGGTGCAACAGCGAAACAGTCTCCGACAGCTATGGCGCTGTTAAGTAATTCACATCATAGGTCTAAAGCTGGGCCTGGACAGCATACCTTTGAAGGAAATCCAGCGATAGAACCATACATCGTGGCTCACCATTTGATACTAGCTCATGCACATGCTGTCGATATATACAGGGAAAAATATCAGGTGATTAATTTCAATTTTATATATTGTGCGTCTCTATAATAGTTTATTTAAACAGATGATTTGTACATACAGGCAGTCCAAGGAGGCCAGATAGGGATGACAAATGTCGCATGTTGGTATGAGCCTTTTAGTGAAGCTCAAGCCGATAAAGACGCTGCTTCAAGATTGATCGATTTTAATCTAGGATGGTAAGTCTGGTTGGAACATATTTTACGGGCATTTTTAATATTTGTTCGACAATTGCACACAAATTACAATAATTTTTTAACAATCGCTCATTCTAAACTTAAACCAATCCAAACTCCCATACTAGGAAATAATAAAAACAATACTGTACAAAGATGGCAGTGTCTCTCTCTCTCTCTCTCTCTTCCATGTTCTTTTTACTACATTTAACTATTCAAATATATTATACAAACCATCTTCGTGAAGTAAATTATTTTCGTAGAATTAATTCAAAACAAATTATCTCATATTTCTTTTCTTTTCTTTTTTTAGGTTTGTAGCACCAATAGTAATGGGAGACTATCCAGAAAGCATGAAAGAAAATGTATCAACACGTCTTCCCATATTTACATCAGAAGAGGAGAAGTTGGTGAAAGGATCGTATGACTTCTTAGGGATAAACTACTATACGTCTTATTATGCTGTCAATCTACCTCTCCCCCCTGATGAACCACCAAATTTCATAACAGATTCACGAGCAAATGATCCAAGTAAGCACTGTTTTGGGGCCCTTTTTGTGAAATTCATCATTACATTGGACTTGATTACATATACTAGCTCTCACTCTCCTCTCACTCTTTTGTAGAAGAACGTAATGGGATGCCGATTGGTCCACTAGCGGTAAACCTTTTTACTTTGCCATTTCCTATCGAGAATAGATTGGATTATCCTATGTATTCAGTAACATTTTCATAACGGCCTGGAACAACTTCAACAATTTATCTAATGCATTATTGTATCCTGATAGGCACAATAAAAACTGATTTTATTAATTTATTAATGAAACAACGTCGAATGCAATTACAAACTTCTTCTCTTGTGTCAGCTTGGTTCAAATTGGTTGTACATTGTTCCATGGGGAATTTACAAGCTCATGATTCATTTGAAGGAGACATATGGGGATAATGAAATTTACATTACCGAGAATGGTAAATAGTCCTGTTATTATTGGCTTAGCTACAAATATGTGGTATTAACCAACATTTTTATGTCTTGTGATTTGTGTAGGGTTGAGTGAACCAAACGATAAGGCTCAAAATATTAAAAATGCTCTCTCGGATGAAAGAAGGATTAAGTACCACAATGACCACCTTTTCTATCTTAAAAAGGCAATAGAGTAAGTCGTCGTCTTAAATTTTCATTGCACATGCTGTAGTAGTTCAACTCAAAACAAACTGCAATAATTTTCCTTTTCCTTTCAGAAATGGTGTACGGGTGAAGGGTTACTATATATGGTCATTGTTTGACAATTATGAATGGGCTCAGGGATACACTTCTAGATTCGGCATCTATTTTGTAGACTTCGAGAATGGTCGTTTGACAAGATTCCCAAAACACTCAGCTATATGGTGGATGAATTTCCTTGGACAGAAGTCTAAAATTCCATCAAAGAAAAAAGCTAGACCAACTAATCAAGATGGAGAAGGCACTGGGAAAAGGCTGAGAAGCAGCTAATTAAGTGTAAAACTACAGCTTCATCCCTTCTTCTGAAATGTGATGTCAAATAATGTATGGATGTGCATGTTGTTCTTTTTATTTCCCAACCTTCTCATCGGTTGATGAGAAAACCATGTTTCAACTCGTTGTGTTCAAATAAATGGAGTCCGACTCGCTGAGTCTCCATGTTCTCTTTAAAGGGTAATAATCAACTAGTCTTGGAAAAGACTAGGTATGTTCTTGATTTACAAAGAAATTTTATTTCTTTAGATGTTTTAGATGACCTAAACTATGACATTATGATTAATAAGAGATAAATTAAAATTTGAGCGGCTCACAATTGATTGTTGAAGCCCCTAAGAGACATGGACTTTACATTTTGCAAACTCAAAATTTTTTTTATTCTACTTCACAGCATCTCTGTTCAACATGATAAATCACAAATATGACACAAAAAATTAGGTCATATTAGTGAAAAGGGGTTATAGATTTTGAAAAACACAAGATGCTTTTGGAAAAGATAATATTGAGAAACTCAATTTTTTGTGACCATTGGATCCTAAAAAGCATAATAGATTATCATTTTTATTTGGAATGCATAAATATGTGTCAATACTTGAATATTGCATGCTGACCTTTGGGGACCAACTTATGTGCCAGCTTATACTGATTTTTAAATACTTCCTTTTGGTCATTGATGATTTTCTAGAAAAAAAATGGATTTTTCTTCAAATCAAAGTCTGACACTTTCAATGTTTTCAAAAAATGGAAAATTTTAATTGAAAATCAAACTGACAAAAAGATTAAAGTGTTAAGAACTGATAATGGTTTGAAATTTTACAATTTTGAATTTGATGAGTTGTGCAAATTGTATGGTATTTTAAAACATGGAACTGTGACACACACACACACACCACGACAAAATGGCCTAGCTAAAAAAATAATAGAACAGATCAATAGAAGTCATGCTAGTGCTATACATTTTAAAACTATTGAAGAAAAGTGGAGAGGAAAACTTGTAGACTTCAGTAATTTGAGAGTTTTTGGACGTGCAACTTTTACACATCAATTTGAAGGAAAATTAGAACTTAGAGCCCTTAAGTGTGTTTCCTAGGACTATGGTGAAGGAATGAAAGGGTATAAACTATGGGTAACAAAGACCAAATGATATATGATCATTATAAGTAGAAATGTTGTGTTTAATGAAAACAATCTACTTTGTTTGAAAAATGAGGAAAATCGAGAGTCCCTAAGACATACTGACAATGTAGAAAGAGAGATTGAAATTGAGGTGGATGAGGTTAATGATGAAAATCAACAACTCGATGTTCATATTGAAAATGAGAATGTTGAAACACATAGTAATAAAGGTTCTGAACAATCTGAGGCTGATTTGGAAGCAAATCAACCTTTAGATGATTATCACCTTGGTAGAGATAGGCAAAGACGACATATTAGACCTCTGTCAGGTTTGATGATGAAGTTTCTTTTCTAACCTTTCAAGGTTTCATTGAAAATGAGCCTGAATCCTTTAAAGAAGCTATGAGTAGTGAAGATTCCAATAATTGACTAGCACCAATGCAAAATGAAATGGAATCTCTTAAAATGAATAAAACATGGATTATGAACAAAAGACATGAGAGAAAAAGGATTGTTGATTGTAAATGGATTTTTAAAATAAAAAAGAGAGAACAAAATAATAATTACATCAGATATAAGGCCAGACTTGTTGCTTTGCCAAAAAAAGAGAATAGATTTCAATGAAATTTGTTCTCCATGTGTAAAATTTACAACTGTTAGAGTNTTGTTCTCCATGTGTAAAATTTACAACTGTTAGAGTAATTTTAGCCTTAGCCACACAGTTTAACTAGGAACATGAAACGATTTACATGGAACAACGTGAGGATTTTGAAGTAAACAAAAAGTCTGATTTAGTATGCCTTCTTAAAAAATCTTTATATTGTTTAAAACAAGTTCCAAGACAATGGTACAAGAGATTTGATACTTTTATATTTGGACTTGGTTTTAAAAGGAATAATTTTGATACTTGACTTCATTACAAAGGAAGTGGACGTGAAAATTCACTTTATCTACTCCTTTATATAGATGACATGCTTTTAGTTAGTCATAACGTAAATGAGTTAGAGTTAATAAAAAAAAGTTGAAATTTGAATTTGAAATGAAGAACTTAGGTCCTGTTAGAAAGATTTTAGGTATCAAAATTAAAAGAGATAGAAGAGAGGGCACACGAAGTCTCAGTCAGAAATCTTATATTTTGAAACTATTGGAAAAGTGTGAGAATTGAACCGGGTTCAATAATGTTGCTCCCATAATTTGTGAAAAACGTGATAACCAGATGCATTTTGTTAATTCACACTTTCAACCGGATTGCGGCACGTGGACAAATCTTGATTGTTGGTTTGAATTCTGGATGGTTCTATTATTATTGTCATTCTCGACTTTTGGCTTTAGGGTTTTCATTTCTGTTCTCTTTGTGAGAGCGTCATTTCTGAAGGTTTCTGTGTTCTGATCTCTCTGTAATTTCTTCTCAAAGTATTGTTTGAGAAGGTGATCTGTAATATTGTAGCCTCCATTGTGATGATATTCTGAGCGAATATCTGCTAGGAAGTATTTGTGCTTTTGGCTTGTTGTTTCTGAGGCGGTCCTTTGTGGTTCGAGTAGATCGATTGTTGTATTTTGTGAGAGATAAGTGTTCTGTATCTTTTCTTCGTGATTGGCTGTACATTATTGTAATCTTTGTTTCCATTTTTTGCATTATAGTAGAACCAAGCATAATCTAACTTTTAGATGCTTAATGGGGGATGTAGGTGTTAGATGTGGTCACCGAACCTCCGAAGCTTAGGCCGAAACATATCGATTGTGTTCTTTTAATTTTCTGCACTTTATTTTCAGAGAAAGTTTTTGGTATTCTTGTTTCTTGATCTAATATCGTGTATTCCTGGCCTAACAAAATGTTTATTATGTCTGATGTTAAAAGTGTGAGTTTACCTTTAGCAAATCATTTCAAACTTTCAAAAGAATAATATCCTAAATCTGAAGAAGATTTTTGAGATAATGGCAAGAGTGTCATACTCAAATGTTGTTGGGTCTGTTATGTACTTAATGGTATGTTCTAGACCAAATTTAGCATACTCAAGAAGTGTATTGAGCACATATATGTCAAATCTTGGAGAAGCTCATTGGGAAACTACAAAATGGCTTCTTAAATACATTAAGGGTGTGTTTGTCTCCCATTATTGGGAGAAAAATATAGTAATGAATAATATTTTTTGGAGAATGTGTGATTGAGATTTAAAGTAACTTTATTGGTTTGTGTGTAGAATATTTTATTGGATGAATGTATGGTGAAGAATCTTACTGTAACAAATAATTTTTTGGAATAATAGTAGACAAACATGGGCTAAGGGAACTTGTAATTTTGGAATCTAATATAGAAAACAATCTGACAGTGTTATCTTAAGGGGATATATTAATTCTGATTATGTAGGTGATAAAGATAATAAAAAATTCACTTCAACATATATCTATACTTTATGTAGTTTCTGTATAAGTTAGAAATCCCAACTACAAAAGATTGTTCCTTTATCTTCAACAGATGTAGGATGTATAGTTGCAACAGCTGCTATAAAAGAAGGGATCTGGCTAGGACTCTTAAATGAATTTGATTTTATTAAAGATGTAGTTTTATATTTTGATAGTCTACCATTTATTTGAGTAGAAATTCTGTTTTACATAATAGATCTAAACAATATTGATCTTAAATTTCACTTTATTAGGGATTTTATTTCACAAGATGTTGTGAAACTTGAAAAGATTTCTACTTATTTTAATCTTGATGTAGGTACTAAGGTGCTGCCTTAAAACAAATTTCAAGATTGTTTAAGTTAGCTGAACATTAACTCTTGCTAATTTGTGTATCAGGTAAAAGAGCAAATGATAGTCATGTTTTGGAGGAACCACTATAGATGAAACTGGAATCATTGTACCAAGGTGGAGATTGTGGAGATAATATGGCACAGTGATGGTGATTATGCTACTGACTGGATTATTGGTTAGATGTTTTGACCCATTTGTTAAATTGGTGACTACTGCCTCTATTTTTACAAAATCGCTCTTTTGTAAAATGCTGACTTCTTTAGTGGGTTTTAGAGGCATCTAATGTTGCCAAGTGTCAACCCTAACACTGTTGGATGGCTGACCTTCTAGTGACTTCTAATATAACCGTTCATTTGCCTAAGGTTTGGAAAAGAGATTCATTCATTCGTCTCTCTGTGACTCTTGTAGTTCTCTCGTCGCTCTCTCACTCAAAAGGCAGGTTTTGATCTTTTAGATACTAATAGCTTGATATACATCTTGAGTGACTTGTATATTTTGTATATTGTTGAGTGCTATGTTCTTGAGTGATTGTATAGATTGAAAGACTTGATTGATGTAATCTTAAGTGATTCATTTTGAGTGCTCAGAAAGTGTATCTTAGACCCTTTTTTTGGTTTTGGTTCTTAATATAGTGGTTTCTTCCAGAGACGAAAGCTCAAAGGGGATTCGAAACTATATGTTCTAAACCTCTTAATTTTTGACAATCCCTGTGTTCTCTTGAATTCGATCCACAGTTAACATAATTTCTGCTACATTTGGTGGCAAACAATTTTTTTTTTAAATTATCGTCTTCCATCGAAAGATGATCTATCCGACGAAATTTATGTGTTGAACGCAAGAATTGACGATGAACCATGTAGCATGTTTTCTTTCCATTACTCAACCTAAGAAACTTATTTTATCTTCATAGTATGAGCAAGCGAGGAATTAATCCTTTTGTACTATACCCTGACAAGTTAGCATATCCTGGAAGATCATTGAAAATCCATAACAATGATGCATATAATTTGAACATTTGATTAGTTGATAAATCATACGTCAATACACAATCGTTCCATGTTCCAACAGCTCCTCAATAAGCAGTTGCAAGTACATATCAATACTATTAGTGATAGAATGAAAGGAAAGAGAGTTGAAATCATGTGATACGGCTCCGCCTGGTTATTATTTTCTGTTATAGGGATGAGAAGTTTAGTTGGTGGTTGCCGTATGCTACTGACTCTCCGGAGAATCACGATTGATTTGGTTATCAAACATGGTTTCGATGAACCATGCATCTGTCTTCAAATTCTCTATCAGTGTTGGATGGGCAGTTTCTGCAATCTCCCCAGTGACTTGAGCTTGAATGGCCTGGTCAATTGCTACTGGGGGGAGCGGAGGAGCCAGCAGACTCGAAATTGGCCCATCCTTCTCATTAAGTTCTTCCCAAGTCTGGAGCTCTTTCAGCTTTTCTGCCGCTATTGAGCAGAACACATTTATTTGATTCAAGTCAAGTTCATCAATGCTTTTACCTTCAATAAGACCATTCATCAAAGTTTCGTACTCTCTGTGATCATTCCTTATTTGTATGTTTCTTAGTTTTTCTGTCTCTTCTTCAACTTTCTTTACCAAGTATTTGTCATGCATAACCATTTTCTTCTCTCTTTCCATCTCTGAAAATTCAGAAAATGTGTTAAGCCTTGCTCTAAAATCATCTGGAGATGGCCATAGGGTGGTATTGTTTTGTCCTGGTTTATGAATAACTATTCCTATATCAGAACCAGACAAGATAGAAAGCTGGCTCGCTTTCTTGACTAAACCTTCTGTCCTATTTTTTAGGATATTGTTTCTTGTACTCTCTTGGGCTATTTTGACGCGTTTAACCTTTTTCCTTGCCATGGTTAAAAAACTATGATAGTGTACTGACATTCTTCAGGCGGAAGATATATATACAAGAGAAATTCAACTGATTTTAGTAACTGCTTTATTAGAATTTAATGTTGTCAACATTGACTCAAATTTACATTAATACGAAACGATTAGGTTAAAAAACTATGATAGTGTACTTAAATTCTTCAGGCGGAAGACATATATACAAGAGAAATTCAACTGATTTTAGTAAGAGCTTTATTAGAATTTATTATTGTCAACATTGACTCAAATTTACATTAATACGAAACGATTAGCATTTTGACTTACATATTTTGCGTGTATGACGCAGAACGGAAGTAAAATATTTACCAGCGTAAATCTTGAAAATAAGAAAACTGGAATTCTTCAAGGAAGAAACTTTTATGCCATTAATAATTATGCCGAAAACGTTCAAAAGCCTTTAAATAGACGTTACAAGAAACCATAAAAACATAGAATAGTAAAACGTTCCAAAAATAGCAAAAATTCAAAACGGGAAATATGGAAATTAATTATTCGGAGGCCTAAACGAAGGAATTTGGCTAAAATCCCGAGATTTCCAATTTTTCGGGCCGTTTCCAATCAACCAGCCAAATTTCAACCCATTCCGACACCGTTTTGACAAATGACAAAATTGCCCCTAGCGCGGTTTTTTTTCGTCAACTTTCAGTCTAGAACTTCTTCAAACTCCAAAGCTAGTTGTCCTACATCAGTGTATGATAAAACAACTACGTATGACATATTAGAATTCATGACTTGAGGGTCAATAATTCAATGTGAATTGATATTGAAATTGATTTCTCGAGAACTCGAAATGGAGGTTGTTAAACAGCCAACTTTTCATATGTTCTTGAATTTTCACGTTTAAATTGAGATTTTAGTTGTTTCCGGTTACATCGTTTCACAATTTTTAAGGTCATATGAATAAATAAATAAAATCGAAGTCTTGAAAATTTATGCCAATGCATTCGTCGATAATTTAGTTTAACCAAATGAACAATATGTACATTACTAACTATTGATATATTTTTAGTATAAAGCTTTTTACTAAATCTGGTCAAAGATTGATTGAAAAGATCTAAGAATTTGTTTGAATTGGCAAATATGGAAAAATCATGATAGATTTCGTGTATAGTGCATGCAATAAATATTTGTAAAAAAGCTATATTCTGTGATTAGTATTAGATTGATAGCGAAAATCATCAATGGTTAAATTGTTATAATCTCAAATATGGTTTGTGGGAATTCTATGCAATAACTTGAAATACAAACTCTTGATTTAAAGGCAAATTACTACATCGTTTTATTTAAAACCCTATTTGTTCCTCATCGATAAAGAGTGCACAAGAAAAATCAAATATGCCTCAAGGAAAACCCTATTTGAAATATTTATTTTTGTTCATAG